GACTACACAATTTTCTGACATATACAAGAGCAAGAAAACTCATAAAAAATACATTAATGAAAGTATTGAAGTACTCGTTTGAAAATCTGAGTAAAAAAGTAAATATAACTCCAAAGCACTTCCAGATGAGTAAATAATTCATGGGTAAATTTTGTGAAAAGCCGATGACTAAATCACTCATGAGAAACCTTGAGAGACCCAGTCACTAAACACCAGCAAAACAATGAATCAGAACAGGCTTCTTTGGTGAGTGGCCCTCCTCCATTCATACTTTTAATCCTGCAGTCGTCAGTATCCGAAGACAAATGTACTGCAGTAGGGAGTGCAGTAGCGGCAGGCACAAATGGAGTGTGTTCCCGTGGCTTGGGTGATTTGAGGTCTTATAAATAACTAGAGCGTGGGCAGCCCAGCGCTTCCAGTACCTGCGACCTGCTGCCCACCCAAGCCCGCGCAGAGAGAGCGAGAGAATAGAGGCTGTCGATAACTGCTGCAGGGGAGGGGGTGAGGGGAGAGGAGGGGGCTAGTGCTGAAGTAAAAATTAGTTCACAAGGGAAAAAAAAACAAACATGCGTGTTGTTTAAAGGTGCACCTATTTCAAGATTACGTGATACATGTTTGCTACACGTAACCAAAATTACAATACACGCATCAAGAATCTCGGACTTCCGGTCATTGCGCAATCCATACTGGGAAGGATTCTCCGAATAAGTGAGCATCAAACCGCCATGTTTGATTTTCCATTGGGATGTGTCTATTGACAAAGCCGATCTTTTCAAGTCTTTTGAACCATATCGCTTTTGTTTCTGGTTTTGATATTTTCATATTTTAGTTTTGAGATTCGGGCATCGTAATTGTGTGGTTGTTGGATCCTAACAGCGGAAAACAGCTCGAGAAATTTGTTTGCAAACTCCATAGATGCAAAAGAGGAATCAGATCTGTGTGACTGCAAACCTCCATTCAAACTGTTTCCCTTCCCAACGGAATTGAAAAATAGTGAAAGGCGAAGGCGATGGGCAGTATTGATCCACGGGAAGGACCAAAAAGGAAACCTTTGACTGCCTAAATCATCCCGAGTTTGCAGAGAACGTTTTGTATGTGGAGCGTCATCAAAGCGGTATCCCGTTTGTTAAGCGAGAGCTACAGAAGACAAACAGGCTGAGCTGCACTTTCTTGTTCTTGTAGTTTTACAGCAACATTAAGTCTTGGTCTCTTTGCAGTGGAAGGTGTTTCTTGGTGAACAGCTGGTGCCTTTTGCTTTGGCGTTGACTTTTTAAATTCGTAACCAAGGCTGAGTGAGGGATCGGGGTTTTGCTTTGATGATGCTCCACATACAAAATGTTCACTGCAAACTCATTATGATTTAGGCAGTCAAAGGTTTCCTTTTCGTCCTTCCCGTGGATCAGTACTGCCCATCGCCTTCGTCTTTCACTATTTTTCAATTCCGTTGGGAAACAGTTTGAACAGAGGTTTGCAGTCACACACATCTGACTCCCTTTTGCATTTATGGAGTTCGTAAACACATTTCTCGAGTTGTTTTCCGCTGTTAGGATCCAACAACCACAAAATTAACGTTGTCCGAATCCCAAAACTAAAATATGACAATATCAGAACCAGAAACAAAAGCAATATGGTTCGAAAGACCTGAAAAGATTGTCTTTGTCAATAGATGCATCCCACTGTAAAATCAAACGTGGCGGTTTGATGCTCACTTTTTCGGCAAATCCTTCCCAGTATGCACTGCGCAATGACCGGAAGTCCGAGATTCTTGATGTGTGTATTTTGAATAGTAGTGTTTTTTCAAAAGTATTCTTTAAGATCAATATTTCTGGTACTTCAATCCACAATATTGTCGCACAAGGTTATTTCGTAAATTTCTCATTGATTTAATTTGTAGTGGCTTGTTCTCATCTCAAACACTCTCAAAACAAACCACTACAATTTAAAAGGAACACGCATGTTTAAAAAACCCAGATTCAGAACCAAAGTGAAGCATCGCTGTGAAAGGAGTTAATTTATGGAATAGGCTTGACAAAGATATAAAAGAATCAAGTACAACAATGGGATTTAAAAACACATAAAATCGAGTGCAATGTGGATGCATGAAAAAGGAAACTAAGTTGTGCAAAATAGTGAAGATTTCTGTTTGCAATTGGTTAATAATTGTGCCTGAATTGAAATTGTACTGATTTGAAATGTTTAGTAACTATCAGTGTGAAGTGAAAAGGGGGCAGATAACACAAGGATATGTTTACACTGAAATGAATTACTGTATCAGAAACGATTTATGTCCAGGCACGTCGTTTCTGTGTCCGCAATCAAAGCCTTCCCTCCACAAAGTAACACAAAACCGCCTGAAACGCTCGTCACATGACTAGGGATCGTCACAACGTCACGTGGGCGATAAAACAAGGAAGTGGAGCGCCGTGTCTGAAGTTGCAGCGGCCGATTTTGAGCCGAGAAAGATGGCAAGACTGAAAGTAGTAAATAGTTCCAGCTACAGCAGAGGACCACAAATACCCCATACCTTAACCACGTACATATAAACCAAGTCTGTACACACAAAAACACACACATAGACTCCTATTTGCCAACCCCGTTCTCTATAGGTAAACCCCATGTTGTGTAAATAATTCCTGTGCATTGACGGCCAGTAATGAAGCCTTGTGGGACATAATTAGGGACCTCACACAATGTCCCCCAACTGCAATTAAAACCTCCTTTAATGGACAAGCTAAGCGCCACAGCACTACACAAGACGAGAAACTGACAACGCAACAGCTAACAAGCACAAGGAGGAATAGCCCGCGCGTAACACTACTCATTATTAGTTTGAAAATGTCCCCCGGCTGGAATTTGCAAAGATTTAATAGTGTGTGTTTGTGACAATGTGGTAAAAATTTGTTAGTAGCGAGAGAGGCTTTCAACACAGTAAGCCCACTCCGATGCTAAAGTGAGAATGTACAGAGGAGGTGAGAGATGGGATCCTTTTGGGAACAATATTGTTTTAGTTGAACTGCAATAACAAAGAAAGAGGGTTATATAATTGTGAAACTACTTGAAATACTGGGGAAGATTTAGAAAGTTTTGGAAATAAAGTTTTTTTGAGGGGGAAAGTTGGAAATTCTGTCGTGCTAAAATGTGAATCGTTTGGCCGTTTGGATTTTTGCATTATGTAACTTTTTAGTAGAGGGTTCGTCACCTTGTTTCTGTGGAGATGGTTTTATCTGTTATGTTCCTTGGTGTTACGGTTGTTAAAAGGATCAAAATGAGGTACTAATTGACACTAAAACTAGCATTGAAACTAGATACTAATTTTAGCAGGTTTCGATACTAAAAAAAGGCACATTCACAGGACAAAAATGACCACAAAGACGACTATGCATCCATGGACCACGATGGAACAAACCTGGACGACTGAGGGATTACACAGACTACGATTTAATGTTGTCTAAAGAAAGAGTGTTTTTTTTATCATGGTGTCACAATCTGTATTACATAGGGGTTGTAACGGTACACAACAGTCATGGTTCGGTACGTATCTCAGTTTTGAGATCATGGTTCGGTTCATTTTCGGTACAGTGTGGGAACAAAATTCAAAACCATTTGCTTGTTGTTTATTTGTCTTTTTATTAAACCAACAATTTGTTTTAACATTACATTTATTTGATTTTCCCGTTTGTATAAAGTGGTGTTTGGTAATACTAATAAGTTAAATATTCTCAATTAAGCAACAAATGTATGAAATATTATTAACAAAATAAATTCCTTGTAAACAGTAAACAAAACTTTTCTAAAAGTAAAGCGCAGCACTAACAGATCCAGGATGAAGTTTTACTCAATCATCATATTTTTGGCCAGAAAAACCAACTTGTCCACATTGTCTGCAGTAAGAGCAGATCTGCTGGCAGGTACAATGTCTCCAGGGACTGAAAATACACTTTCACCAGGGGCCGAGGTAAAGTGTAAAGTGTAAAGTGAAAGTGAAGACCAAGGCGCAACAACCATAGTTTTGGGAGGACTCACGTGGTTCAGAGGGACATAGTCAAGGCGGGGGGCAATTGTTGTCAAGGCGGCCGCCCTAACTATAAAGCACTGTGGGAAACACTGCCACCCCAATCACGGACAAGTTCCCTCATGATTATTAAAGAGCCGAGCCTTCCGTGTAGCTGCACATGTAGTGGCGGAAGGTAAACACACACAAATTGCGCAAATTCACTCGTGCACAGGCCTGCACCAAACCGATCATCCCGTACTGAAACAGTTCTGCACGAATACATGAACCATTACACCCCTAACAGATGATAATGTAAAAGAAAGAGCTACGATTTAATGTTTTCTAAAGAAAGTGTTTTGTTTTTTTTTTTCACCACTGTGGTACCAGAATCTGTATTGAATATTGATATCAAATTTGAAATTGTAATATCATACCACCACTGGAATGTTCCTTGGTGTAGCATTAAACTTGTTTATTTTACATATAATGAATTACAGGTACTTTCACTGCTCAGAAATTCCTTGAAAAACATGGTTTAGTACTTGGAGTGGAGTCGCCTCTCCACAGATGTGACATGTAACTTGGCTTGTGGCATCAACTGCACTCCAAGGACAGATATATTTAAAGCTGCACTGTGGAACATTCTAGGCAACGCAATAACATCTCCTCGGAGACAATCGGATGGCAGGCCTTTTACCAGAAATGTCACATAACACGTCTAGAATAATAATCCAGTTACAGCCTGCTACCTCAGCCAAAAAACACTCCAAGCACTGATGTAGTAAATGCACTCTCTCTCCCCTTCTTCCCCTCTTTTCTGTGCACAAAACCCTCCACAGCAGCAGCAAAACCATCAGCCTCTTCATCCCCTCCTCTTCACTGTCAAAAAATCTATCTTTCTTTTTTTGTACCTATTAACTGCCAAAGATTATAGATTCAAAACATTCTTCCAGTCATTATATTCAAGTTTCCTGTGGTTGAATGAGCTCCACTTTTGTGTCTGTACCTGTAGGAGGTGTTTTCCGAGCAGGGGTTGTGAACACGAACCACCACAAACACGTGCTGGAAGTGTGAGCGGATGTTCTTGGGAGTGAACGGGAGCGCTCCTGGTTCCTGGAATACTACGGTCACGATGTCATTCCCAATATGGCGCTTCCTCAGTAACTGGAAAGACACAAGATGGAAGAAAAGATTAAACAAAAGACAATTCAAGTGAGCACATCGTAAATCATAAAAAACTGAATACGGTATCTATAGGTTGAGGTCACATAACATTGTTTGACCATCAAATTGCAGATTTGTTGACCAGATTTATAGCAAATATCTCTGTAATTAATAATTCATTAGTCATTCATAAATAAACAGAAGTATTTTAGTTTTTTTTCACAGTAGCTTCAAAAAGTGGTGCAATTATTCAACCCCAAAAATGTGATTGTTGCTCAAATGATCGTAAACTAGGGATATAACAATAACGTATCATAAAAAGTCTCATAATAATATCGTGGACCATCACAATATATTGAATTACAAGTCTCTTTGATTAAATTAATAGTTATGGTGCAGCAAAAGTTAAAAAATAAAAGGAAACTACATAGACCATGATCCTTTGCTCCATCTCAGTGCCGACTTGACAAAAATGAAATAACTGTTATAAGCAACTTTAAATCTTAATTCTTTGGATTATGACAAAGCAAAGGACTTTATTTACAATTTTGTTAGCCTCTACAAAATATCGAAACAAATATCGTACCGTGAAATGCATATCGGGAAAATATCGTAACAAGAAATCTGGATATGGTTATTGTAAAACCATAAAATATAATCCGTGTATAATTCGTTCATTCATTTTTCAATGTAAAAACTAAAAGATGAAAAAAAAAGAATAATAATATTTTCTTCATTATTTATCGCAAAAAACTAAATGAAAAAATGGATAACGATTTGTTTTTTCAGACTTTGTGTTTAAATGAATAATGGAAAAAACGGATAACAGTCGTTTCCAGTTTCCACGACTTAAACTGCGACGCTGGACTGAACCAGGGCTGAATCAGGACTAAACCAGGTCTAAACCAGGTCTAAACCAGGTCTAAACCAGGTCTAAACCAGGTCTAAATCAGGACTAAAACAGATCTAAACCAGGACTACACCAGGACTAAACCATTTCAGTCCTGGTTTGGTCCTGGTTTGGTCCCGGTCTCGGTCTCAGTCCCGGTCTGTTCCCGGACCTGTTTTAGTCCTGGTTCAGTCCGTATGCGACGCAAAAGTCCAGCATCGCAGTTTAAGTCACAGAAATTTTGACTTATCTGATTTTTTAATTATCTGATTTTTCATTTTGGTTTTGGAGACAAATAAAGAAAACAGTAGATTTTTTATTTTCTTATTCTTGGTTTTATTTTGAAAAACGAATTAACGAATGATACATGGATTAGATGCAAAGTTTATGAAGCCAATCCCAAACAAAAAAAGATCCACAAATGTTGAACCTAAATTTGGATATTACTTTCAATACGAGTACATCTCAGGTAAAAGTAAACAGACGCCAACTCCTCCATCTGAAAATATGACGTAATCAAATCCTAGAACGTGAAGGCGGCTAATGAATACAAAAGTGTTGTAGCGTACCTGCTGTTTGTTGTTGGGGGTGTAGGGCAGCATAGTGGACACGTGGAACATAATCTCGTAGTCCTTGTAGGTTGTGTACATGGAGTGGGTCCCAGTGGAATCAGCTGTTGGAGAGAGAAAGATTTTATTTTCTACGTTTTTCACACATACCACCTGCTGCTGGTGTTTTTTGTTTGTTTTCTGGCGTTTGTGTAAATAGGGCTGGAAGATATTGCAAAAAAAAGAGATTTTTTTTCATTAAATTTGGGATATTAACTGCTAACACATATTTAGATCACTATTTTTTATTTTTTATTGTTCTGAAAATGCTTTAGTCGCTGAAACCAACGTCTGAACATGTTTTACAAGAGTCTACCTCCTCTTTAAGGCTACATTCAGACTGCAGGGCTTAATGCTCAATTCGGATTTTTTTGTGAAATCTGATTTTTTTTGCGAGGTTGTTCACGTTTCCGATTAAGTGCGACTTGTATGTGACTCCAGTGTGAACTTTAATGCCCCAAAAGTGTTCCGTGTGCGCATCGGAAGACACAAAGATGTCATGTGCAGCAATCGTGCTCAGTGTTTACGGAAGTCGCCTAAACGCTGGGCTTGTCTCCCAAAATACGGTCCAGTTCTTCGTAAAATGGACAGGTTACAAGTCCACAGCTGCTTCATTTGTTTGAGTCTTTAGCCTCCTTGTATTTGGCTCACAGACTCTTTATTTTTTGTTGGCATTGGACCCAGAATCGCCTGTAGCAGCGCTCGGACATTTCTTTGGCAATCATTTCAAAAACCACCCGGTTCTGATAAGATGCCTCCAGTCTGGCCTGAATATAGTGATCCTCCCAAATATTAATAAACTCACTAACCTCGCTTTCCCTCCATTGACTCGACTCTGAGCCTGACGTGTAGGTGGGATGAATGTGACCTGACCATTCAGACTGAAGTCACATGTCAATAGATTAGATATGTATCAGTTTTAGGAGCACATATCCAAGTCAGAGTCCTGCACCCGACTCGGTCCCAAATAGTTGCTGAAGCGGGTGGATTTTAACGTTTTGGAATTTTATGAGCGGGTAGTAATTACACACGGGCGGGTCAGGACTAAACCAGGACTAAACCAGGAGTACACCAGGACTGATCTTGGACTTAAGAGTGAGAACGGCACGAAGCCTGTCCCGCCAGTGAGTCCTGGTTCAGTCCTGGTTCAGTTCTGGTTCAGTTCTGGATCAGTCCTGGTTCAGTCCTGGTTCAGTCCTGGTTCAGTCCTGGTTCAGTCCTGGTTCAGTCCTGGTTCAGTCTGCGGTGTGTGCGGTGCAAAAGTGTGACATCCCGATCAATGTTTCTTCTGCTCAGTAAATAATGCCTGTGAAGTGATGACAGTCGAGTCAATTCGTATTCGTACTGAAGAAAGCGTAACCGTTTCATTTCATTTCTTGATTGTAATTCTTGAAGTTGTAACTTTTCAATTCATATTCTGATGGATGCTTCAGTTAGAATGATTTTCATTTGTGTGTGATTTACCACCAACTCTGATATAATCACAGGTTAACGGGAGGGTGCGGTGCTGTACTGCGCGGGTGCGGGTGGGTGAGGGTCTCTAAAAATGGACCCGTGCAGGACTCTAATACAAGCGGTCTGGGTCACATTTGGAAAAAAAATCTGTCGTTCAGACTGAAGTCACATGTCAAAAGATCGGATATGTGTCGGTTTTAGGAGCACAAATCCAAGTGTCCTGGGTCGCATTTGAAAAAAATCTGATCTGTGTCGTTCAGACTGTCATTAAAAGATCAGATACAGGTCACACAGGGGCCAAAAAATCGGATTTGGGTCACTTCAGGCTGCAATTTGAACGTAACCTAAGTCACTCCCCCTCCAGAGCAGATTTGTGAAGTTGTTGAGTACAGTTTTGTGTCCTGTTTTTTGTATATTTATGGAGAATTGTCATATAGGAGCATGATTGACTAGGCTTGTGAGTCTTGCACAAAATCTCACAGCTATTTTTAAGGAGTGCTCAAATAGGGCCCAGGAGAGATCACTTAATTACTCAAACATGCATGGATAACATCTAAAACCTCTTAGGGAATTTAAGAAATAAATAAAACAGATTTACCCTAATACGCTCTCTCTAAGAAATGTTTTACCAGTATTGATTTCTTAAACATAAACAAGACATACTTTTAATCACTGCCATTTCACACAAAAACAGATAAAAAATCAGCTCCAAACCAAACGCTTTTACTCGCAGAAGACTGGCTGTGGACCTCCCCATTAAAAAGACCCAAGCTGATCACTGACATTGATTGGACGTGAAAGAAACTCGATCTCCATTAAAATTCATTCATTAATTGCACAGTCCCGTGTATAAACCTTTATTGAAGCCGACAGCACATTTTGGATTCATTACTCAACCTCAAACAGCAGCATTTTATACAGTAATTATAGTAATTCACTGGGCCTGCGCTTAAACCACGAGCTTATACCAAAATTGTCAAAAAACATTTTCAAATTTTGAGCCCATCCAGAGAAAATTGTTTAAAGGGCCGATATTACGCTGTTATTTCATCTATGTTGTAATGTTGCTTGCTCATCAAAAACAGAGTTGTGTTTAGTTTCATTCACACACGTTTAACACACAGATCCTGCATATTTAAGCCGAGCTCATCTCTCAAACGGACAACACTCTGCTCCACCTCGTGATGTCATGTGGCTCCACTGTGTTTTTAAACTCCGCACATCTTCACTTGAATCATTTGGACGATTTCAGCCCTCGAATTGACAACCTCTGCTGAACTTAAGGTAAAAAGTATATCTGATATCTTGAAATCCACAACTACATGACATCACAAGGTGGAACAGAGCATTTTGAGCTTCGGAGATGTAGATAAACTAAAAATAAATGGTTACTTAAACGAAATGAATGAAACAAAACAACGCAGGGTATGTTTTTGAGGAGTAACTTAGGACTTTTCACCATTTTGAAATGAAAATGTAATCGCTTCATAAATCATTTCAAACTGTGTTCTGCATTGACCATTTCGACTTGAATCGATGTATGAGGGTTTCCTGATGGGTGAAAATGTGACGTATAAGGTTAAATACCTGTTGCAGATTGTGAGCTCAGCTGCTATAACCAGGAAATGGCTTAATTCACAAACGCCAACACTGGATGAATGGTTAATGGTTTAAGATGGAGAGAATTACTTTTAGTATAAGACTGCAACAAGATAAATTTAAGAGCAAATGGAAACAGTGGACTGAATTTATAAAAACTGTAAGACCAGACTTTGTTTAACCCTTTACTTTGTTTTTCTTGCAATTGGTTGTAGTAATTATTCATGTTTAAGCATCAAAGGCACAGCTCACATATTATATTGTATTTGTCTTTTTCATACCACTTTAAAAAAGAAGAATACAGAACTCACAAGTTTAACTATAAGCTGATCTACAGCAACAAACCTGTGCATTTCAGACACCTTTGCACATCTCTGCATGGTCTCTATGGAAACGGGGCATTGTGATCTCTGAGGAGGACATTAGTCAAATAATCACCTCACCGTTCGCAATCAGATCTGGATTTGAGTTCGATTTGTCTTTCAGCTGCTCTACCCACAATCCATTTCCTGTGGCGATGCAAAACTACATTAAACTGTCTAATTGTGAGCGAGTTTCCCCGTGTCTCTCCTCCTCCTCCTCCTCCTCCTCCTCCTCTTCTTCTTGTTCAGGCAACAAAATGGTCACAAGGTGTTTCGCAGGCCATACTTAAGCCAGCACAATTACAGCAATTAATTACAGCGGTTCCTCGGGGAGTGATCAGGACTGTGCCATTTGATTTGAGTGTGGGTTAGCTCAGAATTACAGCAGACAAGTAAAGATCAACGAGGAGAGAGAGTGAATACAATATGTCCAAACCAGTCTGAACTAGAGCGGAGACAAAAGGACACGGAGGGGGCTCGTACACCGACACGGATTACACATGAAGCCAACTTATTGTCATTCAAGTTGAGCCAAATGTGATACTTTGTGCGGTGAATTAAATGTTATGATTCACACTTTTGAGCTTCTTTTAATCAGGTGGGGCATTGCAGAGATAAAATCAAGCCATTTTCATATAGTAATAACTAAAAAAAAGTAGTTAAAGGCAATATTGACAAACCTTAAAAGGCAAATTTAAGAGCTATTTGTCATCACAGAAACCAGAATCACATTTTGAGTGATCTAGAGCTTTTGATTTGTGTACTGTATCTGGAACGGAACCAATAATAGGAACGTTCAAACAAATACTTCCCTCTGATTGGTGGAAGCATCGCAAACTTTTATCACATCCAGTTGAGAGAAAAACACAGACATCTTTCCTGTCCAAACGCTCAAAGCACTTCCCTCTGTATGTTTTTCATAAACTAAATAGTCTGAAGTACGTCTGTCGCCGTCGTCGTGTTTGTTTTGGTTTCTCTGGGCGCTGGCTTCCACCCAAACCACAACGCTGCCCTGTGATTGGTCAGTCTCCAGACCCATCACAAGTGCACGATTCCGCCGAAGCCTAACAACACAGATTCACGAGAATTCATCTCACTGGCAAACTTTTCCATGACTTTTTCATGACCTAAAGTGAATTTTTCATGACTTTACGGCACCTACATGTGTAAAATTTATCAGACTTTTAGGGCTAAATATGAAATATGAAAAATGAAACCCTTTCCACTTATCTTATGGTTTGGTATTACAGTTTTTTTAACATTCAAAATACTGTCAGTGCATTTATTGTCGTCTCTTTTAAACAAAAAGCGCATACATTCATAAATAATCATAATAGCCGAATGATAACTCAACAGAACGCTGGAGTTGCGTGAAAGAGATACTAAAATTCCATGACTTTTCCAAAACTTTCATTGAATTTACAAAACTGCATGACTTGTCCAGGCCTAGAAAATGATATTTTCAATTTCCACGACTTTTCCAGGATTTCCGTGACCGTGGGAATCCTGGAAATAGCTCCACACATAACATAAGGCAATGGTTACTGAAGTAGGGGTCAGGAGGCACTGAGCAAGAAGATTTTAAGATGTGATTTTAAAACTAATCACTTAAACAACACTAAACCTGATTCAACACTTAACCCTCACCCTTTTTTAAGAGAAAAAATATCCCTTTTGTGTCTAGCTTTTTAAAAATTCTCCTCTTTTGAAATTTAGAAATGAGCCACTTATTATAAACTGTTTGTCTTTGTCTCTTTCCAAAAAACGCTCCAGACGTTGTGCTGATGCTGCTGGTCATTGTGTAGAATGTGACTTACAGCAAAGAGATTTCCTTTCTAGGACAATAAAGGTGAAGATTAATGTACACTTATCCTACACAAGTTGAACCTAACCTTACTTTAACAGCCCTTCAGTGTCCCATAGATAAGAGTAGAGTGAGATTCAAGTACGTACTCTTGGTGTCCAGCTGGGCTCTGTACTTGGTGAAGCCCTTGAGTCGGACTCTCTCTCCGAGCAGGTGTAAGAACTCATCCAGAGCAGGACCGGTCGATTCATTGTTGTACATCTCCTCCTCTCCGCTTTGCCCCGCCATGCAGTACATGACCCCCACCTTCCTCTGGAAACTCAGCTGCACACAACACAAAACAGTACAAGAGGAGGAGACAGGGCTGTTAGCACGGGCAACCTGCAGAAAAGAGCAACGCAAATGTGTAGGGGTGTAATGGTACATGTATTCGTGCCAAACCATTTCGGTGCGGGACATTTGGTTCGGTGCAGGGCAGTACACAAGTGAATTCGTGCAATTTGTGTGTGTTGGACCAGATTATTTGTATTCGTTACTATTAAAGGAACGGATGGAGTTTAAATTCCATAACTAGGGATGGGCATGATTAATCGATAATTGATCATTAAGAATTTCATCGATTACGTAAATTTTAATTGACAAACCGAATGCAGTTTGCTGTGCGTAGCGTGACCAAACAGGGGTCTGTACATGTGCTCTCTGCACTCAGAAGGAGCGAGCAAACACAAACAGTCGGTCAGTCTGCAACGTACCGAAGCACAAATGTGTATTTAACGATGATTTGTACAAGAAATTCCACGCTTTCCGTTGCGTTCGGGACAAGTGTGAGTCCATGTGCACAGTGTATAAAGCAGCACATATGTTTCGGTGTCCAGTGGGAAAAAGTTTTACCAGGTGAGAGTCGCGCAATGTCCCCACCTCCCTCCCCCGTACGGTGTCCTGGTTTTGACAAACGCAAATCTGGTCACACTAACCTGTATTCACCTGAGTCATGTCTTTTAATCCGACAGACGTTGACCGAATCAGCGACACAAGCGCAGTAGTTTTATCTTCGCTGAGTTTATGCAAATTAGCGATGCGGTTTTAAGTTTTGTTTGTGAGAGTTGCGCAAAACTGAATTAAACACATTATAATGTCAAACGGGCTGATGTGGCTCTAGAGTCGTTACGGTTTATATGTCGTAAAGTTGAATTTATTTATGCAGATTAGTAGTGCAGATAGTAATAATAATGATGATCATTTTAATATAAAAACGTTAATGATTAATCGATAATCGATCGTTAATTCTTCCGACGATCGATTAAGAAAATTTCATCGAATGCCCATCCCTATCCATAACCATAACTTAACTTTCCCCACATAAGAGGTAAACATATTGAAATTAAATCCAGCTTTTACTGATTACAACTCAATGCTGAAAATTACCTCACAATTAGTTCTACCAACACTCGACTACGCAGACATAATTTATCAGAACACGTCAGCATCTAACCTTCGATTGTTAGATGTCATTTATAACAGTATATGTAGGTTTGTATATATATAGAACACACCACTGTCAAATGTATTCATCCCTCAACTGGCTCTCTTACATCCAGAAGACAGTTACACTTTCTGTAACTTGTGTTTAAATGTTATTGCTCAAAGTTCCCACCCTACATAAAAGAGTTTTTGATTCCATTTAGATCAGTATATCATTTACGTCCCACTGAACTATTATTTTTTAATGTTCCTATAATAAAAAAAGAAATTGGCCGCAGAGCATTTAACTTCAAAGCTCCAAATGAATGGAACAAGTTACCCTCCTCAATCCAATCACTTACATCAATCCACCATTTTAAAGCATCAGTCTGCAGATATTTACAAACATCCTGCTCCTGTTTTTGATAAAAATACATTTTTGTTCTATGTCACAGGTGTCAAACATAAGGCCCGGGGGCCAGATCCGGCCCTCCAAGACCTTTAATCTGGCCCTTGGCTGATTTTCTACTAAAATATTTCAATTATATTTTCTATTAAAATCTCGTTAATTTTCTGTGGTGTTTATCACAGCAGCATCTCCACCGTCTCTGTACGTGGCCCCTCCCACCAGAGCAGCACAAATGAAGACTTGTCTCTTTCCAAACGCTCTTAAAGGACGATCGTTTTGACTGTCGACCGTGACACCCTCATCAGAAAAATGTCCAACATGAGAAAAGTGGAGCCGAGTGCAGGATTTTACAAGAAAAACTGACTTATTCCTATTTACATACAAGTTATTTTTAAAATGTTGTGTTGAAATTGTATTTTTCTTAAAGTTTCAGGTTGTTCATAATATTATAATATTATAATATTTTGTAAAAGAAAGAGTTCATCAATTAAAAAAGATTTCTGTCATAGATTTGTGTTTCTCTGCACAAATATCTGAACTTATTGCTATTTTTGGGGTATATATGACATGAGTTTTCTGATCCGGCCCCTTTGGGATCAAAGTAAAAGGGATACGGCCCCCGGACCAAAATGAGTTTGACACCCCTGCTCTATGTACTTTCTGCTGTACATAGAGTTGCTTTTTTTTCCTCACTCATTTACAAGTATAGGTGTGGTGATGATAAAATCAGAGAGATGTATGTATACCTTAGAATCCTGGATTGTATAGTGTGAATGCTGTCTGTGTGTGGTGTGAATGTTGTCTTTGTTTGTCTTTTGTTCTGTTTTGATTTGTTTTTTTCTTTCTCTTCTGTAAATGCTGCTTTTGTTAATGCATTAGGACCTCCTCGCAAATGAGACGCTACATCTCAAGGGGCTTCTCTTATAAATAAATACATAAAATAAATAAATCCAGTTGGTTTAAACCTAAAAGGAAAGACGTCTGTCAGAGTTTCTGATGTGAAGTGATGATGAGAAAAACTTGTATGTGTCCTCTGTCTGTTGGTTAACACCCTGGCAACCCAAGTTCAGTTGTGATTGTGGTAACTTTTTTACTCTAAACATGCAGACTACAATTCCTTTATGTAGTGTTTCTAAAACTGTGATACATATATTCTGTTTTTTTAATTTTTTTTATTCAGAGACAAAGTTATTCATGTTTTTGTCTTCATTGGGTTGATCATCATTTAGAACCAACTTAACCAGAGAATCATTTGTCGTTCATTTTTTAAAATAAAACCAAAAATAAGAAAACAAGAAAAACAACTATTTTCTTCATTATATTATATTACCAAAATGAAGAAAATAAACAAAACAGATAATGATTCATTTTCAGTTTTCAATTTTGTGTTTAAATAAGTAATGGGAAAAAACTGATAATGGCCAAGACTAAACCAGGTCTAAACCAGGACTAAACCAGGACTAAACCAGGACTAAATGAAGTCTAAACCAGGACTAAACCAGGATTAAACCAGTTCTAAACCAGTTCTAAACCAGTTCTAAACCAGGTCTAAACCAGGTCTAAACCAGGAATAAATCAGGACTAAACCAGGACTAAATGAAGTCTAAACCAGGACTAAACCAGGATTAAACCAGTTCTAAACCAGGATTAAACCAGTTCTAAACCAGTTCTAAACCAGTTCTAAACCAGGACTAAACCAGGACTAAACCAGGATTAAACCAGTTCTAAACCAGTTCTAAACCAGGTCTAAACCAGGATTAAATCAGGACTAAACCAGGATTAAACCAGGTCTAAACCAGGTCTAAACCAGGTCTAAACCAGGATTTAAACCAGGATTAAACCAGGTCTAAACCAGGACTAAACCAGGTCTAAACCAGGACTAAACCAGGACTAAACCAGTTCTAAACCAGTTCTAAACCAGTTCTAAACCAGGATTAAACCAGGACTAAACCAGGATTAAAGCAAGTCTAAACCAGGACTAAACCAGGTCTAAACCAGTTCTAAACCAGGTCTAAACCAGGACTAAACCAGGACTAAATGAAGTCTAAACCAGGACTAAACCAGGATTAAACCAAGACTAAACCAGGATTAAACCAGAACTAAACCAGGACTAAACCATGTCTAAACCATGTCTAAACCATGTCTAAACCAGGTCTAAACCAGGTCTAAACCAGGTCTAAACCAGGACTAAACCAGGACTAAAACAAGTCTAATCTAGAACTTGAAAGAGAAAGAGGGAGAACCTCGGAGCAGAGTGTCTGGAAAGTCTGATCGGGCGACAGCTGCGCTTAGCCCCGTGGGGCACGGAGTTCTGCGCCAGTCCTTTCGTCCCGGTCTTTTCCGTTCAGTCCTGGTTCAGTCCTGATTCAGTCCTGGTTCAGTCTGACGTCGCAGTTTAAGCCTATCCGTTTTTTTTTTCCATTATTTATTTAAACACAAAATCGAAAACTGAAAAAATGAATCGTTATCATTATATTTTTTTCATTTTGGTTTTGGAGACAAATAATGAAGAAAATAGTTGTTTCTTCGTGTTCTTATTTCTAGTTTTATTTCATAAAAACAAATGATACAAGGATTCCTTAGGTTAGATTCACTCTGGACTTGGTTGTGCCTCTTTTTAGGCCAGCCTTTATGACATCAGTAGTACTCGGAAAGCCAAATATTATCTTTGGTGTGAAAATTCTGAGAACCACTGATTTATACTCAATTCAGATTTGTCCAGTTTTAGCTTCTCCTGTTGGTAAAAGTATTCTAGAACCATCGTCCTACCCAGACAGAGACTCGAGAGGGTAAAAGTATGAGTTATTTTATTATCTATACATGCATTGGTGCAGTCGGGTTAGGGGTGTTGACATTTTCGACAGGACTCGTGTTGGCATTTTAAGTAGAAGCTCTCAGGTTGCTCGGCAGTGATCGCTGTGGCACCATTTTACAGAGAGATCATGCTGACATTTACAGAGTTCAGCTCCGGATGATTACACCTGGAACATAAGCAGCAGTTTTTATTATAGTCACAGTCAAAATGAGCCACTGACACAGGTGCTTTGATGGGAAAGTTAAACCAAAAATGTACTTTTAATGAATTTGACTTTTTATGGAGAAATACTGCATCTGCCAAATCAACATCGTGACTTTTGAGCCAGTGTGTAATTTTATTTGCGTGTGCTCAATTTCAAGGGTCCATATGTTAATTTAACCTTTATTTTACCAGGCAAAACATTAAAAACAAATTCTTATTCATAGGGATTGGCCAAAATATCGAATGTTCTACTGCTGCGGCTGATAACTAATGATATTTAGCTTTTAAAATCCATAGTGAGGCCCACAAATTTATCGTAATTACCTGGTCTCCGAAAGGTTGACCAGGTTTTGTATTCACCCTGTGTGTTTGTATGTGTGTGTCTGTCCACCCGCGATAATTCTGCAATTTATGGGCCAGTTGTCACCAAATTTG